CAATTTATTCATGTATTCATACTAAAGAATAATAATTATGAACGAATTTCTTCTCTTTCATTTATTAGTTTATTCATTTATTTTTTCTTCACGAAAGAAAAGCCGCGGATGAATCACCACTTTATCTTCTGCCTCCTGTGATGTTTTTCAGAAATGGTATCTTCAAAATTTCTCTTTTGTTAACTATTCCATGTAAAATGTTTAGTATGATATTCCTCACATGATGTCAGAATGAGCTAAAACATAAAACTGCGCATTTTGGTGTTTTTAGAATTGGGGAATAATTTTTATGTGCTCGATCGGCGGACAACATTTGTTTACTGTGATCATCAACACGGTAGGTAACTATGACTCCCTGTGATTGATCTCGCTCCGACTGACGTTCTGATACGAGTAAATCGATGAATTCGTGAAGCTAATAACAATCGAGTGTTCACGCTTGGATTGATGGAGTCTAATATTTAAACTATGAGACTTCGAGCCGTTATACGCACTGCATTTTCCATTGAAAATAACTAGCAATTAGTAACGCTCTGGTTGACGCTCATGATCCAAACTCACAGAACTTTGAATACATTTTTCATTCTTTTGAATAAGAAACCTAGAATGACATATGAACCCTGATGGAAAACCTGATGTTGCAGTAAAGCTCGATCACGGTACATTTTTTCAATGAGATTATTTAGAGATTTAGCATCGCTAAATCTTTCAGCAGTAGATTTGGCATCGCTATACTATCCACAGTAATGTTGAACTGATTAATCGGGTTGAAAATTCCATTTATGTTTTGAATAACGGAAAACCATGAGGTATAGTGACGGTGGTGATCTAAGTTGTGATTGACCGACCAATAAGACGTGAAATAGAAATGAAAGAGGACGTGACGAATGAATGGGATAAAGAAGCTGTATTCGTATAGGAAAAGTAATGAATTTAAACTAGGCACTGGCTGATATACATAGTTCCATAAAAATTCTCTACAAGAATCATGCCAATTTTCGTCTATAATATTCGTAGTTAGTGGCTTCTATAACTTGTCATCAGAGGTAGTCACAGTAGTTAAGGATTGACTCGAATTTCCGTAATCGGGTAGAGAGAAACATAGACGGATAGCGAGGAGGAATGGGGTAAAAGCGAATGGTTAATGGTAATGCGTGGAGAGAGAACATGTAGAAATTGGGCTAAGTGTGCAGGCAAATTTTCGACCAGCGCTTTACTGATACTTTTTGATTGCCTAATGTGATATTTAATTATAGGTTTATTTAGAAAATAAACATTTAATTTTAAACTATGCCTGATGTCCAACGTCGTGTCGGTACCTATATATGCATAGCCAATTTTTGGAAGGAAGCAATGAATCCAGATGATACAGCTGTAGCTAAATCGAAAGCAATCTGCATTTTAGCTTCAAGAATGACGATACCTACATATTTGGTGGCATTCGTTGTTTTAATCTAGAATCTAATTGGTAGTATCTGGTCGCTTAAGTGTTTTACATTTCTAAGGGAAAAAATTTTAGTGACCGATATTCACTTTTTTCGTTGGAAGAATGATTACAATCGATATATACAATGTTCACCGGAGCGATTGCGAAAGTAGATTGAACGTTTAATAGCGTTGTCAAGAACTTATATTATCAGTCTGCTTCTATCGCAAGTTCGTAAGGAATTTAAAAGCAAAGAAAACGCCAAGAAAATTCACCATATCGATATTGAAAACGTTTCGGAGTCCAGCTCCATCATCAGTTCGACTAAACTAAAAATGAATAAAATCATTTTACAAGTCAAAATTCAAAGACAGACATAAACCTAAACACGACCTAACATTATATCGAAATAAGCAGGACTAGAATGGAACAACTTAGTCCTATGGGTACGACAAGAATATAAAAGCCTAGCGATTCACTATTTCCAGATTATATGAACTAAACGCATTACTGAGACACGGTTTTCGTTTGAAGATATGTACAGACTCCAAAATTCTGAAATCCGAGCAGCCAGAAATGGAACCGAGTATCCTGAAATCACTCTCAGATACAGCCACGTCGCACTGTTCAGCATGGAGGCGCACGGAAGAATGAGGAGACTCGGCGAGAGGCAAGTTAGAACGATAGCTCCTGCCACGGTGTTCAGAAACCCGGATGTAGAAGTTACGCGACGTCATTCCAACGTACGCAGGTGCAAAGCGTGCACAACGCTTGATCGCATCCGAGCAGGATTAACGTCCTTATACCTGAAGAAAGAACCAATTTCGAAATTATTTACCAGCAAAACATGCAAATTTATATTCGGGAAATATTTCAAACACAACATCTTTAGTTCTCTGGACTTAGTTTCAGACGCACTACCAAAATATGGTAGGGTGCAATAAATAATTTTCTTACTATCGCATTCAGTCACAGATTCAGAAAATTTGTTAGATAAGAAGCGTTTGATTTTACTATACACAAGGCACAATGGAAAACCATTAAGCTGAAATATATTACGAATGAAATCGAATTCCAAATGCATATCATGGAAAGTAGAACACACCCGGCCTATAGCCACAGTATATCAAAGTTTGAAGACTATTAAATTTGAAACGAAACGAGCAGAAGCTAAAGAAGCTCAAACCCAAGCCGGTAAATGTCGGTTTTCGATATACAGAAGTCTGAAAACGACCGCCACACTTAGTAACTTAGCAGTCGAGAAACGACGGGCAATTGTTGGATTCTAATTCCATAGTGAATTTTATTGAAGTATGTTTGAGGTTTAGATAATAATCAAAGAAAAGGCCCGCATGAGAGGGATGTTTGAAGATCAGAAAGGTATCATCAATATACCTATTATAAAAAATCGGTTTAAAATCAATGGGACAATCGGCCAACCAAGAAACTTCATGAAAGCACATGAAAATGTTGTCGAGTGTGGGACCAAGGGGAAGGCCCATTCCTAAGCCATTAACTTGCTTATAAAGTTTACCAGCGAAAATGAAAAAAGAGTTCATGACTGATAATTCCAAAATCTTTTTGAAAACATTGCGGTTAAGACCGATCACCAGATCATTCACATCCTTAAACAAAGAGTTGAGGCAGATTTAAACAGTTTCTGCAAGAGGAATATTATAGTGAACAAATTTTCCACATCGAATGAAGCCATAGTCTGCAGGTGCTGAACATCGGTAAAATCTTTCAAACGGTCAACAAAGGAGTACGTATTATCAACAGTAAACTGGTTAGTAGTTAGACAATTCGAAATGGTAACTAAAAATTTAGCTATGTTAAAGCTCGGGGTATTATACGCAGCAAAAATTGGTCGGAATTGAAATTTCGAAGCGAAATCAGGCTTATGAATTTTAGGAAGGCCGTACAATATGCCAGGGCACGAACCAGAAACGTGAAGTTTAGACAAAGTTTCGGAGGCAGGGGCGGAGGTATCTTTAAGTCTGCGAATGAAGTTATTAATTTGATCTTCAATTTTCAAAATGTTTTTAGAGATAGGGCTAGTGACTTCCACGAATTTCGAAGGATCAGAAATGAGAGCAAGCATACTGCTGGTGTATTGGTTACGGTCAACCAGAACCACGCCGCGACCTTTATCAGGCTTGCATTTAACTAGATCCTTATTCTTGGCTAGGTCCCTCAAAATAATTTTGAGGGATCTAGGGGGATTTTTTTTGATAATTTTGGAGTCTGTACATATCTTCAAACGAAAACCGTGTCTCAATAATGCGTTTAGTTCATATAATCTGGAAATAGTGAATCGCTAGGCTTTTATATTCTTGTCGTACCCATAGGACTAAGTTGTTCCATTCTAATCCTGCTTATTTCGATATAATGTTAGGTCGTGTTTAGGTTTATGTCTGTCTTTGAATTTTGACTTGTAAAATGATTTTTTAATTTTTAGTTTAGTCGAACTGATGATGGAACTGGGCTCCGAAACGTTTTCAATATCGATATGGTGAATTTTCTTGGCGTTTTCTTTGCTTTTAAATTCCTCGTTGTCAAAAAGTTTTGTACGTTAATTGGCTCGCAACCGTGGACCAAGTAAAACAATTTGCATGTCAATGCGCAGCACTTCCAAGCTTTATGCGGAAGCCCCGTCCATAACGCTCCGATCGCTCTGGGTGACCGGATGTCAGTGTTGCGCTTTATGTTAGAGGAGTATTGTTCTTTTAAGCCTCCTGCTATTACATTAGATGCGAACGACGTAGCTGGGTTATCATTCTAGAGTTGCGCCAACATAGAAGAATTTTTCCTTAAATATATTATTTCTGGATTATGTGGATACGCGAATACACCTCTGAAGAATTGAATCAGTTATTGACGCCGAGTGGCCTGGTAGCCAAACTTGTTATTATGTATCCATAACAACGCATCCGCTGGGTCACATGTTTGCATTACCTGCTTGACGACGTATCAGCGACGACAAATATGAGACAACTTGACATAATAATCTAGTACATCATTAGTTTAAGTCCCGGCCAGCTTTCATTGGCTAGAATCCTGGTTAAGTATTTTTAGTAGTGCTAATTGTAACCATATGATGGCTAGTAGTCAGTGAAGATTTTACATGTATTTTTTATCTTCAAATTTATATTTTCATAATATGAGTTGATTAATAATCTTCATTCTGTTGGAGTATACCCTTATCACATTAGTTATTGTTGTAGTAATCTACGTACAATCAACTACTGTGAGCTTTATTATTTTATTTATTTCTTAAATCCTTCACTTGTCCTTCAAGTACAGTGAAGCCTTGTCCCTGCCCTGACGACTTATGCAGCAGCGCAAGCAGCGGCCCCTCAGACAGAGGAGCCCAGTGACTGAATGCGGTGATAACCTACGCGAGTTCAGTGAAGTTCATGTGCAGGTTCTTCACATTGACTTATTTTACTATTTCTTTCCAGATTCTGGTATAAATAGTAGTGATAAATTAATTTAGTTTATTTTTGGTTGACTTACTCATGCTTTAATGAGCATTGGCATTTATGTAACTCAACCTTCATTCCTGAATTACATTCTTTCGGCTAAATTTTAGGATAGGACAGAAGAACATTTTAGCGATCAGTATCTTCAGTTTCGTTCTACCAGAGCCCAAATTGAAATTTACACCGTAAACGCTGTAAAATGTATTTCCCGGAGCTCGCAACTAAGGTGATTAATTAAAGTATGTATTTTGAGCAGCGCTATCTAGAAAGACCCGTTAATTAAACTGAATGCCGTGAACCAGCAGCTCTGACTGAGTGTATTACATTGCGCAGACATCACAGATCTGTCAGTGTGATCTCCCATCAAAACGATCTATTGTATACAGTGCTGTGTAGAGACTCCAGTACAATTAATAGCCGTGATATACGGCAGATAAGGATCCCATATATTGTGCAGACATCACAAATCTTTCAGTGTGATCTCCCAGCAAAGCGATCGCCTCCCAAATGAAGGTCGTCGAAGTCTTCATCTTGGCCGGCGCCATCTTGCCTGTAAGTTCTGTTAATTAAAGTGCACCGCAAGGCATTCCTCGGTCAGGTTAATATATGGAGTACCTATGAAGACGCCATCCTTAATAGGGTTCATAATTACGAAATCAAGAATTGCGTTATGAAGTTTCGACATCTTTTTATTGCACAAGCACCGTTTGATTTGTTACAGGCAGCATAATTCAACATGATTCTCAAAATAATGGTCAAGTTGAACTAACATCACTCAATGTTGGACTCGGTAGTATGTACAGTAATTTTCAATGTGGCATTTCCTCTTCGAATTTTCCTAAAAATATACATTTTTGCGGAATAATTTGAACGAGTTTGATAGAATTTGACTGTCTCGAGGTCGTTATATTTTAGTTTAATTCTGTTTTTACTGCATTGAACCTGTGTTTGAGTAAACGGGCGCTAAATGTGCAGAAACTTTTCTTTTGTGCCAGTGCATTGACTCATATGTGACTACAACACAGTATCGTTAAAATGGGAACCTATATTATAAAATGTAATACTTATTATATAGGTTTAGTAACTATTACTTATTACTTGATTTCATTGGAGTCCTATAAAAAAACGAAAATTCAGTAACTGGAACTGTATCATAACTATGATTAGCAATCATACGATGCACGTCTAGCACAACAACTTTAGAAAGAAGACAACATGAGTTGTGTTCTTCAACCAAATAATCGTTTCAACAGCACAACATAATTGCGGAATAGAAATATCTATCCGCAGAACACGATGCGCTTCTGCCTTTGTTTAATCGAATGTTGATATTGCAAGCTCAGCCATCTACACACTGTCCTCTAATCTTGAAAAAGTCGAGGAATTTTTCATCTATATTTCATACGTACAGTCCGACACGAAATAATATGATATGTATTGAAAACATCAATCTTACTACAAAACCGCAGGTGATGTGCCCCTATTGTTAGTAAGTTGTGAATATGTCATCTTATTTCAGAATTTACGGTGGAAGATGAAATGTGGAAAACGAACGATAAGGTTTGTTTAGTGAAGTCGAGCCTAAAGTATGTACTATAAATGCTGGGGCAAGGAGTTAGAATAGAATAGAAGTGTCGGCACTGAAGAAATAGGCCCATAGCCTGTTGCCGATTCTTGAATTTTTCGTGACTTGATTCACAAGGGATCCGGCCCGATCTTTCCATAACTGACGATTGATTGAGATAGCTGCTGGACTTATTGCCTGGTCCATAATTTGCTAGGCATTTTAAGCTGAGCGTCTACCCTAAAATTGAAAATTTTCACTTTTTTGGTTTTTATACTCATTTTAAAGCTGACATTCTGCCCTATCCAACGGTACCACTGCCATATCTGTACGTTGATTTATGATTTCACGACATTTTATTAAAGGGGGGCGGGTGGGGGAGTTCTTTAAGTAATTAAATAGGAACTAATTGATTAGAAAAAGCTGTTTTGTTAATTTTCTTTTCTACTTTTCTTTTAGTCTTGATGTAGTGATATGCAACCGAAACTATGCTTATCGTTATAGGGGTTTGCGACGACAAGTATTTATATTTATTTCACTACAACCGGTTATTTCGGTACCTATTTCTCTATCTCATGAATGACTTTTCTCTCGGTAGAGTTTTCAATAAACATTTTAAAATACTGTCAGGTTGGTTTTTCTCGTACCGAGTGGCTAAAAGGACGCGATGGAAGGTTCTCTACTGCTGGCAATGCGACTTAACAAGGAGAATGACACAACCATCAATCAACTTCATATACCAGAAAAGAAAAGTACCCTATATATGCCTAGATACAGGGCTAGGAACGGTGAGAATACGAGTACACAGGTTTACTTGTCGAAAGAGATCCTATTCTATAACAGCTGTTCATGGGACAACAGAAATTAGACAATATTACTAATAGACCCAGAATTATAAATTGAAACTAAATCAGCGATGTTAAACAAAGGTGGCTAAACGGCCCTGCTAGTATCTCAAATTTTCACAGATGTACATCACCGAGATCTGTAGAAGTGACCCAGTCCCTGACGAATCTGGCGGTGAAGTCCGGCGTGAACCCAGTTCTCCACAGTGGCTGGCTTCCAGATGCTTTCTTAGTAGCCAATTCGTAGACGTTGACTTCAGGAATGAACTATCTTCGTCGATAACGTAGTGCTAACTTAGTCTCCCTGAGCAGGACTTCGTCGAGTAGAATACGAGGACTTCTTCCCAATCATTGANGCAGGGCTTCGTCGAGTAGAATACGAGGACTTCTTCCCAATCATTGATTTCTTCGTTGACTTCAGGAATGAACTATCTTCGTCGATAACGTAGTGTTCAGATAACTTCCCTGAGCAGGACTTCGTCAATTAGAAAACGGCGTGCTAAAATATTCTCTTCTGAACGGACACTTTTTATCTCACACGCGGAGCTCTTTCCACAAATACGTCTATCTTTCGGCTAAGTCGTAGAACGCCGTCCAGTAGCTCTACACGCTTCTAACACCGGTACGGGACTGCCTCGCGGTGGCCCGCTCGCTCTTAAATACTCCCCCGGTCTCGCGCATGCGCGCTAGACGGCTCGAGCTCCACCCCCCCTAATTCAAAATTCGCTTCTAACCACCAATCCCTATTCTTATCTTATTTATACTTTATTCCTATTCCTAATCATCGTCGGTTTTAATAAATCTTTAACGGTTATAGTTATATTCTCCTATACTAATCATATGTGTACGATCCCTATTTATTCCTATTCCTAATCATCGTCGGTTTTAATAAATCTTTAACGGTTATAGTTATATTCTCCTATACTAATCATAATTAGCTGCTGAGCTCTTTAAATATAGTGTCTACTTGAGTTGTGCTGCAGTTACGTGTTTAGTCTCATCTTAAAGCTGACATTCTGGCCTATCCAACGGTACCATTACCATCTCCGTACGTTGATTTGTACGTTCACGACACTTCATGAAAGGGGGGCGGGGGGAGAGTTCTTTCAGTAATTACATAGGAGCTAATTCGCTGCCCAGAAATACAAATACAGTGTTTCTATGAGGTGTAGCTCAGTGTGCCTCCGGGCTTTGTAGGGATAGGTGCGCATGTAGTCGCTCCCACCATCCTTGAGTGGAATCAAGCTCCAGAAACGTTTAGTTTGGTATCTATGCTACATTGAGCGCCTATTGCAGTGCGCTCGGGACTTTGTCGCTCTCTCCTCAACATTCACACTTATTGTCACGGAAAACCTATCTCCTCCTAGAGTTTTGAAGCTACAACAATGAGACATATACCATTCGATTCGCAAAGAATAGATCTACAAAACGACCTAGCCGTTTTTTTAATTTCGTCATAGTTTGGATTTTATTCCTGAAAAAGGGGGGTGTAAAGGGGTAAAATCGAAAAATTTCCGAAAACTTTACGAAAAATGCTCCCACACCCGCAAAAATTAGAAATTCAAAAAACGGCTTGGTCGTTTTATAGATAAAGATTTTACGCATCGAATGATATGTGTCTCGATGTCGTAGCTTGAAAATCCTCGGAGGAGATAGATTTCAAAATCCCCCCTTTTTTGACCGTTTTCTATGAATTTCACGTTTTCTTTCATTTTTGTCGAAAAATTCACACGAGCAAAATGTGAGTTTTTTTTCCATTTTACATATGTGTACCAAGTTTCAGAGTGATCCGTTTGTAAATAGCTGAGATAATTTTTGGGGTAGACGCTCCCCTTAAGACTGAACATATGCTCTGCATAGCTTCGTCTAGTCTGTTCTTGAAGGCGTTCATACTCGGAGCGTCAACGATACTATCAGGGAGGCTGTTCCACATGTCGGTGACTCGAAGCGAGAAGAAATGTTGTCGCATGGATGTGTTACAACGCAGTTTTTTTAGTTTATAGCCGTGGCCCCTGGTGTTGGTTCTTGTTTCAAATTCTAGTAATCATTCTGGGACCTTGTATAGGCCATGAGTATACTTGTATGCTTCAATGAGTTCCCCACGCAAACGTCGATAACTGAGGCTTGGAAGCTTCATAATCTTTAATCTTTCCTCATAGGACTTGCTTTTCAAGCCCGAAATTATCCTTGTTGCACGTCTTTGAACACTCTCTATTAAATTTTTGTCCTTTTCAAGTTTCGGTGACCACACGACGTTTCCAAACTCTAGTTTCGGGTGCACGAGAGCAACAAACAACTGCTTCATCGCTTCTGCATCTAGGAACTCGAAAGAGCGTCTGATCAGTCCAAGTCGTTTATTGACTTTATTAACTTGACCTTCAATATGCTTAGAAATTTTCAACTCATTGTCGATTTCAACTCCTAAATCTTTTTCCATTGTCTACTTCGACATCATCACTCTGTCGTTGCAACCATGTCTTCTCATACTGTAATCATGCTGTTCATTATTCTTGCCAACTGCCAAGGTGGATTACTTTACATTTGTCAGCGTTAAAACGCAGCTGCCACTTATTAGCCCAGTCAACCAGCCTGTCAAGATCACCTTGTAACTGTACTTTTTGCGACGTATTCTTCACTGTATTATAAATTTTTGTGTCGTCAGCATACATCGAGCACACGCTAGACACAGCTTCTGGCAAATCGTTTATAACCGCAATGAATAAAACAGGCCCGAGAACGCTTCCTTGTGGCACGCCGCTGCGCACTGGAGCCCAGTCTGATAAGGACCCATTAATACTGACACGTTGTCGTCTCCCTACTAGAAAATCTATGAACCATTTAAGTACATTGCTGTCAATTCCCAAAGACTGCAATTTCCGCAACAGCCACTCATGTGGGACACTGTCAAATGCCTTGGCAAAATCGAGGTACACTGCATCTACTGGCTCCCTTTCGACCAGCAGGCGGGTCCTTTCGTTCAGAGTAGACAAGAGGTTAGTGGTGCAGGATCTCCCGGCAATAAAGCCATGTTGATAGACGATAGTCTGATAGGAGATTATTAGCAGTCAGATGATCTATCAATCGATCCCTCACAACAGATTCCATTACCTTGCAAACGACACTTGTCAAACTGACAGGGCGAT